GCAGTATGGTGACATACCCTTGCAATTCAAAATGTCTCGTATCATGTACAGTGCAGCACTTCACATTACATAACTTTCCCTTAACTAAGCATCCCCAAAACAAAAGCCTCCAATAACAAGATATAAAAGCTGTCCATTTTTTTTTTCAGAGTTCTTTTGTTTCTTGTTCACCTCATTGATAAGGTGAGTTTTCTTGTGGTCTGATAATTGTCGGTAACCAGGAAGTGTTTCAATGCCTAGTGCCTAGTCAAAGACCCAAAATATGCTATAAATAGCTCTCTCCTCTCACTGTGTCCTGCCAGTATCTTTCTTATGTGAGCAATACAAAGTTAGATGTAGTAGTGATTTTACCTTAATTTTTTTAGGACAAAATATCTAATGATTCGTGCCTAAAATATCAGCCAGCATTAAGGCAAGAACAGTGATGAAAAAAGTGGTTGAATATGAAAAAGCTTAAAACAGCAGATAAATTAGAGGTGTACCAGTGCATGGTGTTGACATACAGGATGCTGCTCAAAGACTTGTGACTAATGAATAACCAATACCTGTATACAGCCTTTAATGGCAAGTACATCACTTTATTGCACAGTACTGTACTGTACTATATTTATCTTCCATTCCACTTACATTACATAAAATAAGTACAGTATTAATGAATAGTTTAGTAAATTTAATTCTTTCCTTCTTTTTCAATACCTTTCAGCACAATTTTTTTTACTTAATTTTCCAAGATTTTTGCATTATTTCTCAACAGTTGCACACTGATAATCCAAAACATTTCAAGAGTAACTTAAAGATATATGGTCCAGGGAGACTTTTGTCTGGTTAAAGGCATATTCACCACTGCAGTACAATACAGTACCTGTACCCATAAATCTCCATTAACAAGACATGTCAAACACCAATTAACCTGGTTGTGGGAGACTTTCATTTACAGTACGTACTATACTGTACACTACATACCAAAGAATGGACGAGTTGACGGTCGGAATTTTTTCGTAAGATGGCAGGTCAATGGGTAAAGAAAACACTTAAATTCACTGTGGTACAGGCTTCCCCCGCGTTACGGAAGCCCGGGTTACGGAATTTCGCTCTTACGGAATTTGTAAATTATGACCAATAATTTCGCGGTACGGCCCATAAATCCGCCCTTACGGAAATTGGGGTAAATTTTAACAAACACAAGGCCTCACACATGCCATTCAGACTGACAGACTTGACAAGTTTTACCAACCATAAAGACAGTTGAAGCTTTAAACATCACTCACAATGGATCTTGAATATTCCAACTGTAATCAGACATACCTAAGTTGCCTCAACAATTGCAACCCCAGTTGCAATATCATTTTCTGTGTCACTACTTGGAAATAAAAAAGTCTCTGGTACAGTACACACTAAGATTAAGAGAAAACGGACGACTCAGGCGTCCTGAAGTGAGAGAAAACGGACTCCTATGACGGGGCACTCAAATAAACATACACATAGATGTATAATGCAATATTATGCAATATTAACCCCTAAATTGGTGTTTTAAGAAGGTATATCATAAACTTTTTAATGAACTGTATTGTATGTGTTTATAAATGTTTATTTTCATTAATAAAAGTGCTTGAATGACTTTTTGGGGGCCGAAAAAATTCCTTAGGATCGCATCTCCAGTTTTGTAATGGAAGTCAATGGGAAAATAGGTTTCGCGTTACGGAATTTCACGATACGGTCAATTTTCCAGGAACGGAACCCTTCCGTAACGCTGGGGGTGCCTGTAATGATATTTTTAAATAAAATGGGCCAAAAAGTGTAAAAAAATAAGGGTTAAAGTTCCTAAAAAGTCACGTGACTGCGAAAAGCTCTTTGATTGGTTGTGATGTCAGTGGTTGGGGCAAGCTTCCCAGCGGGAGGCAGCCAGCTGTAGTTTTCCAACCTTCTCGGCTGATCGGCTCTGTAAATAAATATTATTAGATAATTAATTGTGTTTTACTGTGCAACACCGTACTACTATTTTGAATATATAAATATTACTAAGCACATTAACTAATTCAATGGATATTAGCTGTCCATATAACAAATTTCATAGTACAGTGGTCCCTCGGTTAACGAACGGTTCGGTTAACCAATTACCTTCCATAAGAATCTTCAATTCGGTTAACAAACAAAAATTCGATTAACAAAATCCTTACGAAAATCACGTTTTGTTGTGAGCATCAACTGATCAATAAAGTTGTGCTCTTTAATATTTTTGCATGTTTTATATTAAAATTATTAGTCATTTTAACATTTATTCAACAAATTGATAAGATATGCAGTACAGGGAACTAGTTTGTTGTGCACCCATCAGATGCATGAGTTGGTCACAAGGCTCAGTTGAGCTTTGAAAACAGTGGAGAGAGCATCTATTTTGTTGGTGTATTGAATATTTTTGCATTTTTCATTGAAATTATTGGTCATTCTGAACTTTAGTTAACATATTGATAATATATATACAGTATAGCACAGTGCAGTGTCGATTTAAAATTTTATTGGAGAAATTACTGCATCAAGCATGGGTCCCCTGAAAGGTGATTTCTCCTCCATCCCCACTTCCTTCACTTCTCCCTTCTCCTCCACCCCCACTTCTAATTCCCATCATCATCATCATCAACCAGGAACCTTCTACATACACACCTCAAAGTAAGTGTACTTAACTGCATTTTTTTTTTTACCTTGTATGTACTTTTCTGTGAGCTGGAATCAATTGCACAATATCCTATTGAAACAATGGATTCGGTTAACGAAATTTTTGGTTAACGAATTATGTTCGTTAACCGAGGGACCAGTGTATAAACATTCCAAACAATATTGGTATTATTTTGGTTTTGGTCAACTGGGGAATCTTAATATTCTAACTATGGGATTAAGTACTTAAAACAATAAGACAAATTATCTCTAAAGGATTTCTGTTGCAAAAATTTTTCCATTGCATAAGAAAATACAGATCTTAGGTTGGGTTAGGTTAGGGTAAGGACGGGTGGGGGTAGTAACTAAAAACTAGTGATTTCCAATAAAAATGAAGGTATAAATCGTTCATAACACATCGCAAACTATCAGAAAAAAACACAAGTCTGCATGTCTAAGTACAGGGATGACCAAAACTTAAAATTTACCCAATACTGTATAGCCCATCTCAAATCTAAGCATCAAAATAATTATGGTAGTTAAAGTAAAATTTTACCCATTAATTAATATAAATGATGATATATCCTAGTGGTTCATAAGCGAATCATCAAAACAATAACAGCACTATGTTGTCATGTTAACTAGCACCAGGCATTCTCAAAAAGTCCAGACAATGTCATTACTTCTAAATTTACTCGTATCTCCATCTAGTACTGATATACTCTGTAAATGCACTGAAAAAAAAAGAGAAAGTCTACCAGGTAAGAGTACATGACAGCTGAGCTGGTGTGAACATGGGAGTTTTTTATGTCCAAAAGAACATAAGAATGAAGGAATCTGCAGCGGGCCTATTGGCCCATACTGGGCAGTCCCATTTATTCATCCAACTTATGTTTGAAGCTGCTCTTCACGGCACATTTCTTCACTTACGAAATGTCCATGACTTAGACCATAAAAAAACACCCTTAAAACTTACTTGAATATGGCATTTGGGGTCTGAAGAGGCCATCCTTTCTACTACCTCCGACTGTAGCATTGAGCTTGAAACTAGTGACGGCATTGCAAATGACGGCCCTGTTTCTAGAGAAATAAACTTATCTCGACTATTATAGCAGGACTTTAAACTTTTATTACAAATTATATATACCGTATCACTCTACGAACGTGGCAGAGTGTATTTCTTGTGTTTACCCAGAACCGTCAACTCGTCCATTACTGTGCTGTAATATGAAAACCTTCCATAGCAGTAATCTTTTCATGTCTAGTATGCTACAGTATTTGTAATTCTATACTTCAAGTACAGTACCTGTACTGTACAGTACTGCATAACCATTGAAAACATAATGAGTAAGTTTGTGGTACTGAAGGTAAGGCTATGTTTATGTGACAAGATATGCACTGTACAATACAGTATCTCATAATTTACCAAGAATTATGAATATTTCCTCGCATTAATATCCCAATCTACCAATTTACCCTTACACTAACACAGTACCAGAACATGAAAAGTATGAAAATATCTTGTCATTATAAAAACCAGAGACATTAAGGCAAGTGGTACACGCTAAAAAATTTAGGGAGGTTATCCACCTTTTGATATTCATAAAAATCATGAAAATCTTAAAACTATTTGGCACTTTTTATTGCACTTAAAACTTTTTTTTACAGAACTTATTACATACTTGTACATATTTGATGTCCCCAATTTCTTGATACAAACTCTGTACTGAATTTATTCTTATACAGTCAACCCTCGCTTTACGCGGTCCCACATTCCGCGTTTCCACGTTTACGCGGTACCCTGCCGAAACAGGAATGCTCACATTCCGCGGTGCGTGTACCCCTTTACGCGGAGAGCAGCTGGCGAGCCGCGCCATTTTTTTATCCAAACCTCCCGCCATCTCTCCCGCCATCCGCCATGTTGTGTAAGCGGCGCGAGCAGGGTGCGCACAAGGTCGCCCAGTCATCAAAACATTACCGAGTTCTTCACCCGCCACCCACCACAGCCAGCCCAAGTCAGTGATAGTGATAATTATAGTGAGGATATGGACTTATATGGACTTTGAGGGGTTTGACAAAGAGGCCCTGCAAGCCTCTGTGGTGGATAGTGATACAATTGATACAAGTGATACAGGTGAGGGCCAATAATCTGCCCTCTGCCTCGAAACCAACCCCCCATCCCCGTGTGCCCAGCCATCTTTTCTCTACTAATGTAAGTGTTAAAAAACCTAATATTATTGATATTTCTCTTAATTATTAATTGTGTGTGCATACCATCATAAAGTGAAGATAATATTTTTACTACAACATAGTTGTGTGTCGTCAAAAAGTGGAGTTTGGGGGTCGGCCCGGTCTCTATTTCAATTAATCCCATATGTTATGTTGTTCACTTTACGCATTTCTCACTTTCCGCGGTACCCTGTGGGTTGAATTAACCGCGTAAAGTGAGGGTTGACTGTACTGTATAATAATCTCATGTCCAAACATTTGGCATAATAATTTCTCACCCCAAAGGTGAAGCAAAATCAAAACTTTCTATTTACTGCTAACTTACATCCCAGGTTTTCAGGGGATGATTCCATTACCCTCCTCTAAACTGCTCAACCATAAATAACTAGATCTGTGCTGTGATGTTCTTATGTTATAAACTTTTTGTTCTTCTTTGGAGGAACAGGAAGAGTTCCCATAAATTTACAAATGATGGTGAGCATAACTTCATCAGCGCCACCCCCTATGGAGAATAGTCGCAGGTCACGACATAGGCGGCTCACCAGGATCTAATTTAAAAAAAAATTTAAATTAAATGAAACATTCTGTACTGTGTTTCAGTGTACAGTAGTTCTTAGGGATAATAATTAAATAAAAAAATCCACATAATTTAAATCATTATACAAGATCATAAAAATTAACTGATCCTGAAATCCCATCTTCTCACTGGGCCAGTAACCAGGTAGCTCCTGCTACTACCGATGCCCAGAATGGGAGAGTGGTCCATCATGTCTAATACCCCATAAAACAGGTGGGGGTGGATTCTATAATCACCATCCCTGCTTATACACCCATCAGCCTCAAAAGAGGGAGATTAGATGTAAGGCTGTTCTGTACAGGCTGGTCTAATGGAGTGCATGTCCATTTAGTAATTACAGTACTAATGTACTATACTGTACTTGTTATCTTCTGCAATACAGGTATATCAAATTGTCAAATTCTAGAATCAATCCACCACATGCATGCAGTTTCAAGTTGACATTATATCAAGTGGTTTCTGTGTTTTTTTTAATGCCAATACAGTACCTCCTTACTCTTATAACGCCTAATTGGGACCGCGCCGAGTGCGTGATAACGAAAAACGCGATTACGAAATTACAGAACCTATGGGATTTATTCTAATTGGTTCCAGGCACCCAAGACCCAACCCCAAATTTCCCATTTTACGACCATTTAGACCCACTGAAGATATAGACAATGTTATGGTAAGTATCAGAAACACACATAGGCTTGGCTAGGTTTATTACAGTGATGAAAATGGTACAATAAGGAAGAATACATATGTTACTGGGTACGTTACTGAACTTACAGAATTGAGCTGGTCTTGAGGGAAGGGATTCCGAGGCCAGAGAGTAGAGTTAAAGGTCCCCACCCGGCACTAAGTCTTTGAGTAATTCATCATCCTCTTGAAAACCCTCGAAGCCAGCTTGAGGCATTACAGGTGGCTGAGGTGGCTGTTGTTGTTGACGAAAGAAGTCCGTAATTTGTCTCTGGCGCAATGCGTTGTGGTGATGGTTTAGCTGGTCAACATAAGGCTGGAGTGCTCCGCCTATGATACCGGACACTTTCACTGTCGCCGGCCAGGGGAGGGTGCTGTTCGATGAGGTGTTTCAACTGTTCACTCAACTCAATGATCTCCCTGACTTTTGACATGGGCTGTGCAGCGGGTTGTGTTTCTGGGCTGTCTTCTCTGTTCCGTCTGTCTTCCTCCATAATATCCTCAGCTGTAGGCATAACAGGTTCCAACATAGCCTGTACGTCATCCTCTGTCGTCTCGTCGAACCCTCGTCCTGCCACACGCTTTACCTCCTCTGCCGCCAACTCAACCTCTGCCTGGACAGACTGCAGCTCCCCTGGCACTTCCTGTCGTCGGTCCTCAGGCAAACCCTCTAACACATTTCTCCAGGTGTGGTTTATGATCGCTGGCGTCACGGCATCCCAACACTCAACAATTAAGTCGATCGCTTCCTTGACGTTAAATGCCCGTCAGTACTGCTTGACTTGCTGCTCCGTCTCTTTCTATGTCCCCCCCTCCCTCCTCCTCCTCCTCTTCCTCATTGTTGACCAGCATCTGCACAGCATTTTCGTTCTCAGTTGCAAAGCGCATCCTCCTGAATTGTTTACGGGAGTAAGCATCCTTGACACACGAGATTATTTCCATGTCCATCGGATGGATGAGAGATGTCGTATTAGGGGGTAGAAATTCCACTCGTATGTTCGGATGTGCTGATCGTAGTAGAGGAGAATGGCCAGGAGCGTTATCTAGCAACAAGAGAATGTTGAAGCAGATGTTTTGTGCCTCACAAAAGGCCTGGACCTCGGGAACGAAGAAGTTGTTAAACCAATCCAGTGACAGCTTCCCTGACATCCAGGCCTTCTTGCTTGTAAGCCAGTTCACATTAAGCCTCATCATATCTTGTCATTTGTAGGCACTGGGCTTCTTTGCTCGATGGATAACTGTCGGTTTCATCCTGCATGATCCCGTAGCATTAGTGGTGAACAAGACAGTGAAACGCTCCTTAATTGCCTTCCTGCCGCGGACCTTGGCTGACGACTTGGTGATGAATGTCCTCTTAGGCATGACCTTCCAATTGAACCCCGTCTCGTCCACATTAAAGATTTGGTCCTGGTTGTACTGGCCTGTTGTGATGATGTCCCGTAGGATTTGAGGATATACCCTGGCACTGGCACGGTCGCCACTTGCAGCCTCACCTGAAATCTTCACACTCCTTGCTTGGTGTCGTGACTTGAAGTTCTAGATCCAACCTTTAGAAGCGTTGAATGCAGGTGGGTTTGCCACTTCCTAGTAAGCTTCTGGTAAAGTTGTTTGGAGGTATCCATCAAATCTCTGGTCTCGACGGCCATGTTTCTCCTTCCTTGCTTCTGAACGTACCATACCAAAAGTTGTTCAGTCTTCGTGAGCAACTGATTAGGACTCATGCGGGCTTGGGCTAATGCGTTGGTTTGGGCTAGTTCCATGTGCTTGACAATATGATCCTTCATCTTGTATATCCCCCTAATTGTGGACTCATTGATGCTGTAAGTGAGGGCCACTGCCCGCTTCGATTTGCTGCCATCAATTTGCTTCACCACCTCCAATTTCTCGGCATACGTCAGCGTCTTCCTCTTCTATATTTGCCTCTGAGCGGCAGGTCCAGGTATGGGGGCTGGTGGTGGGGGCATGTTGGGAGGGGCCTCAGCCATCACGGACAACAATGGGGTACACACAAAAATAGAGTAATCCTTGGTTCCCGTGCACAAGCCACGGTTATCACAACTGCAGGGAGCCGGGGTAGAGGGACGCTTCCTGAAAGTCCCCTTCTACCCTAGCTGTGGTGGTGCGGGCCAATAAAAAACGAGCTTTGATGGCTGAAAAATCCCGGCCAATGAAAACAGCTCACTCGTGTGATGACGTCGAGGGCTGATGCGCAGTTCGATGCGCAAGCGAGGCATGTGTGAGTGCTTGTGTTTGCACAACCGCTTTCAAGTTTTGTTACCTCCATCCATTTTCATCCAACAAATGTGTTATTGTCAATTTGTAGGTGAAAGATTTTATCCTCAATAGATGTAGGTGAAGCAAGGGGTTAACAATACACCTGGAGGCCGACCGCCAGACTACCCTTTTTCCGACACAATACGTATGTTGTCTCTTTTTCTTCTCAGCACCACGAGAACTCTCACTTTTATGCTTGCCAGCCATTTTAAAAGGAATTACAAACAAAAATTTTGTCAGTACACAGCGCGATCACTAACGTCGGGACTCGAAAATACGTAATTTGAAAAATATTTTATACGACTGCAGCGGTCATATGTCCAGGTGGTCATAAGTCGAGGAGTACCTGTATAAGAATATTACTTACCCTGTAGGGTTAATCCACATGAAAGCACCAACAGCAGCACTGCCTAAGACTAAGGGGAGTTCATTTTGGTCTGGTGTTATTGTAGGAGATGGAAGGGTCACAGTATGAACTTCCAATTATGGCTAGAGGAGTTTAAAATCCATGACTCAAGCACTTTAGTTTTCTCCCAGTGACTGTAAGGGTACGTTCACACTGAGGCCGGAATCTGACAAATTGTCCGCTAGTTTTGTCTGAAAAATGGACAAAGAATAATCCGCTGCATTACTTCAAATTCTGGGCGAGCCGTTGACACTCCCACACAGGATTATGGGTTATACTTGTATTCCTATTCCATTTTTCCAGACGAAACTGAAGGACAATGTACATCAGAATATGTCCTATTCCGGCCTCAGTGTGAACACGCTCTAGGCCTCACTGGTATTTATAACAACCAGATCAAATGGGAGTGAATTTTCAACTAGGTAAGAATGATGATAGCAGTACAAAAAATTTATCCATGTAGAGTAACCAGGCAATAAACATGTTACGCCCTCTGGCAATGGCCGGATCTTAATGTGACACTATTTTGTGACAAACCTCATTAGTGAAGCCCATTCCTCCCCACATCTGAAGGCAGGAATCCGCCACCTCACGTGTTAAACGACCAACTTTCAACTTGCACATAGAAGCCAGTCTAGTTATATCTTCACCGTGCACATACAGCTCTGTGAAAAAATAACTAATGATTAAAACATTTACTCGTGAGTCTATCCCATTCAGTATACAATACTATAAAATAAAACTATAACATGTTTGTAAGAAATACCAATAAAACAATAAAGATTAGCCATTAATTTCTTGTTAATAATGGCAAATCAGTTTGATAAAATCTATTACAATAAGTAAACAAAAAATGCAGTACAGAAGACCCTTTGTATTCACAGGAATTAAGTTCTTGAAAATACAAAACAAAAAAATTAGAAACTATAGTTCAATGGGCAAAAAGGGGGTTATGTTCTATGTATGACTGAACAAAGGGGAGGATGTGGTAAAGGTTTAGCACAATGACTACAGTAGACCCTTCACATTCGAGAGGGATAGGTTCCAAGATGTGGCGCGAATTGGCAAACCCGAAAATATAGCAACTTATATTACTCCCTTAGTGCACTACTGTATGCCTATACCAAACAACTGACCAGCTGCAGCAGCACTCATCCCCCCTTTTAACTTATCTAATAATAAAACTTTCTTTGTCAGGGTCATCACTGACTTCTACCTTTTACATTTCACTCCACTAACATCACTAGCACTGACACTAGGCAGTCATTTAGGGACCATTTCACACAGAAACACTAAAGTTTTGAGTGTAAAACACGAGATGCTGCGTGAGGCGACTCGTAGTGCGGGAAAAGGCATGCAAGCTAACCACCATCTGCTGACCGCGAATCATGGCAAGGGTCTACTGTAGTGTAACTGTAGATCAAAACAATCTATAGAAAGTGTTGTGCTTTTCACTTATGTTTGATAATGGTGATAATGGTTTGAGGCATTGTGTGTGACAGTAATGAGTGTGCGAAATTTGTGTTTCAGAAAGCCTCCGTAAAAGTTTTAAAAACATAAATCGCCAACCATCCATTATGACATACAAAAAACATTATTTTTTTACCAGTTTCTACAGTATCATATATTTCTCTCTCTTTCAGAAAAACTTTATGTATGCAAAAAATTAAAACCTACGAGAAAAATTGTGAAAGAATCACCATTTTCCCGTGAGTAACACAGACTGGGTGTGACCGCAGCAAAATCCAGCCATAAAGTCAATGCTCAGTGACCCAGATCTATGCAACATTATACAGTATTTATTTATTTATTTATTTATATATATATATATATATATATATATATATATATATATATATATATATATATATATATATATATATATATATATATATATATATATATATATATATATATATATATATATATATATATATATATATATATATATATATATATATATATATATATATATATATATATATATATATATATATATATATATATATATATATATATATATATATACAGTTGTACCCACTTAACGCGGTCAATTGAACCCAGAGGGTCCTGTAAGTGAAATCCGCGTTAAGTGAACAACAGAACATATGGGATTAATTCCAATAGAAACCGGCCCGACCCCCAAACTCCACTTTTTGAAGGCACATACCTATGTTGTAGTAAAATAACATCTTAATTTTATGATGGTACATGCACACAATTAATACTTAAGAGAAATAGAGAAATACAGTCGCCAAGTTAATGTCCATTCAAATAATGGACTCAACTCCCTCCCCCTCTCACACTACACTGCCGGCTCTTCCCTCTCAGAGAAATTTTTGGGGGAAAACCACTAAATTTTAATAAATAATACCTCAAACTAAAGTTAGGATAATACAATTGACATTGCTGGATTCCTTGTAAGACCAGGAATATTTTGAATATAAATGTCATATATTTTGCACAAAAGATAACATAGTTACCTAGAGAAAAATTTTTATCTAAAATTTGTATGTTTAATGCAAAATATATGATGTTTATATTCAAAATGATCACCAAATTATAAGAATTCCAGCAATGTAAATTATATTCTGACCGGGTAATTTGTATGAATTTTATGAGCTAAAACAAATATCTTCAGTTAATAAAAAAAAAAATAATCTTCACGACACCATCTGTCAATCAAAGTACCCCACCTTGCCTCGCCCCCTCTTCCAACCGCGCGGTCAGTCCCAACCCTCCCCCCCACCCCCCACCAATCCTCCCTTCCAGGGTTTTTAACATTTAGTATTAAATAATACCTCAGATTAAAGTTAGGATTATATAATTGACATTGCTGGATTCCTTGTAAGACCAGGAATATTTTGAATATAAATGTCATATATTTTGCACAAAAGATAACATAGTTAATTTGAGAAAAATTTTATCTAAAATTTGTATGTCTAATGCAAAATATATGATGTTTATATTCAAAATGATCATCAAATTATAAGAATTCCAGCAATGTAAATTATATTCAGACCGGGTAATTTGTATGAATTTTATGAGCTAAAACAAATATCTTCAGTTAATAAAAAAAAATAATAATTCTTCACGGGGTAACAGATGGTCGGTCGGTCCCTCCCTCCCCCCCACCCCCCACCAACCGTCCCAAGGAGATGTGTGGGATAACCACTAAATTTTAATAAATAATACCTCAAACTAAAGTTAGGATAATATAATTGACATTGCTGGATTCCTTGTAAGACCAGGAATATTTTGAATATAAATGTCATATATTTTGCACAAAAGATAACATAGTTACTCTGAGAAAAAATTTTATCTAAAATTTGTATGTCTAATGCAAAATATATGATGTTTATATTCAAAATGATCACCAAATTATAAGAATTCCAGCAATGTAAATTATATTCTGGCCGGGTAATTTGTATGAATTTTATGAGCTAAAACAGGCAGTCAGGCAGGGTGGCGGGTGGGGCAAATCTAAAAATAGCGTCTCGAGCCGGACACTCACCGCGTATATGTGGAAAAAATCCGTGTTAAGTGAAAGTTCAGCTCTGGCGAGGCACACGTATATGATAAAACGCGTTAAGTGAAACCGCGTTAGGCGGGGTAATACTGTGTGTGTGTGTGTGTATATATATATATGTATATATATATATATATATATATATATATATATATATATATATATATATATATATATATGCAAATATATATCTATGTGTGTATATATATATATATATATATATATATATATATATATATATATATATATATATATATATATATATATATATATATATATATATATATATATATATATATATATATATATATGCTGATAACCACAAGGAAAGAAGAAAACACGAAGTTCCCAAGCGCTTTCGTGTAATTCACATCTTCAGGGGTGAGTACAGACTAGAGAGAGTAATACAAATCAAGGTGTATATATACAGAGGAGGGTGAGACCAGGTCCACAATGGTCAGGTATTAGGTATTTGTGATCAGGTGAGAAGGCCGGGTCACTTGACCATCTGACCTGAACACCAACCGTTGTGTGCTATTTAAAGATTAGTAAGGTCATTACCTAATACCTGACCATTGTGGACCTGGTCTCACCCTCCTCTGTATATATACACCTTGATTTGTATTTTCTGTATCATATATAGTGTATTATATATATATATATATATATATATATATATATATATATATATATATATATATATATATATATATATATATATATATATATATATATATATATATATATATATATATATATATATATATATATATATATATATATATATATATATATATATATATATATATACAGTGACCTCGTTTTAACGAACACCTCGGTTAACGTAATTTCGATTAACGAACTGCCTTCTAAGGATCTTCAATTCGGTTAACGAAAAAAAATTGGTTAACGAAGTTCTTACGAACCGACCTCAACATGTTTTCGCTTGCACTGACCGGGCAACCAGCTTTAGTATCAGTCCGCCAATACATTAATCGGTTCTAGGGCTTAAATTCCTTACTATTTTAGTAAATATCAAGAAGTTTATACTATTCAATAATTTTAAAAGTTTAATATTCAATTTTTTAGTCATTTTAACAATTATTGAACATAATTGAAGGTAAAGTGACTAGTTTAATGCACGGCATCCAGCCTCTTAACACAGCAAACAGGAGTTAGTCTTTCTCTGTTTTCACTGGAGGTAACATCTTGCTTTAGACTCTCTTCAACTAAACGCTTTTTTTCTGTGTTTCCAAGCAAATTATTGGTCATTTTGAAATATATTTTACATATTGACAATATATAACGCAGTGCCGTGTTGATATAAAGAAAATAATCTTGAATTACACCAAGAGAGCTAAAATTTTATGGGTGAAATGGTGCCATGGGGTGACTTCTCTTCCACCCCAATGCCTTCTCTTCTTCCTTCTCCTCCACCCCCATTCTAATTCCCATCATCATCATCACCCAAGATTGGTTTATTGTCTATTATGGAGATACTGTACTGTACTTCCAGTATATATCTAGTAGTGATATAACAAAAAAATTCATACACCCTGTACTAATCTAAAAAACAGCATTTTAAGTGGTCGTTCTTTAATATTTATAGATTTTTCATGTCAAATGTGGAATTCAACATACAGTACTAATCATGTCATGGAGGTAAATTGAAATTTAATTTAATGTAATAAAGGATGATGAATAATGTAAACACTGAACAGTATGATTTTTAGCAAATATGAAAGTGGTATACTGTATACTAAACTAGTAAATGAGAAGTGAATGTAATTTTACCCTTAATGTACGGTTACAATAAATCTTATTTCATCTCCAAGATCCATGAATTTCAGCCCCATGATGTTGGGGGGCATGGTGAAGAGGTATACATTTGCTAAACCAAAAGTATAGAGGGTTTACTGTATTTGGACACTGCACCCACCAACTGCCCTGTAGATAATTGACCTCAGACACTCGAGCTCTGTCTCCAGCTCAGCAAGACGGAAATGCAAGTACTGGTTGTTGAGCAGTGGCTGACCAAACGCTTTCCTCTCCCGGATGTAGTCAAGGGTCTCTTGTATACACATCTTCATTGGTTCCAGACCACTTAATGCCATGGCCATCCTCTCACCCTGGAACTAAGTAAACAAGTCTAATGAAACTATAGTAAATCCTCTATTTATGTTGTTCTCAATTACGTACGTAATTTTGACCTACCATCACTGACTTATTAAGGATCAAATTTCAATTTAAATTGTCCCATTTTAAGTTTACGTTGTTTTTCAAACTAAACGACACGGAGCAGTATTTCACCAGGATGTACCAGGTACGTCCTAAGGTGCACTGACTGGTGTTCTAAATGTGCAAGGAATGTCCTCTTGACTGTAAGGGTTACTACTGTTCAAGTATAGTACAGTACTGTTTGGGGTTTCACACACTTCTCATGACATTTATGATTCCTATCATCACAGAAGTCTTTGCCAATGTTAAAAATACAGACACCTCCCCCTCCCACACATGCACGATCCTCCCTACCCGTCTCACTTACTTGGTGGCTCATTCAGTCGTGAGGTGAGTCCCCAATTTTCTCTGTAACAACAAAACTTGACTTATATGCTTTAAGACTATGACTTTGCTACAGACCCACACACATTTACATCCTCCCTTCTCTATCATATTTTATTTAAAATCATTCACACATACTAAACAAACATTCCTTTCTGCAAGATGAAATTTTTATTGTCATTACCTGTAACATCTGGTACGTGAAGCCCTTGCCCTCCTCCCCTATAATATTTTTGGCTGGGACTCGGACTTCATCAAAGAATATTTGTCCTGTGTCAGAGCTCCGCATTCCAAGTTTATCAATCATCTTTGTTAGATGGATTCCTGCAGAAAAATACAAATTTCTTTAACTCAAAATCTTATGCAGTAAAATGTGGAGAAAAAAAATTGATGAATGTAAGTAAATTTTTCTTATACCAGACCATAGGAAATGTCCAAATACAGAATAATCTTACATGTATCACTTGTAATCACAGAATTATGTTCCTGAATTCCATCAAATGCCATCAAGCATAATTAATCAAGTCATCGCTATATGAATACTGACCAATGACAGCTCGCTCTAGTTGGTAAAATAAACATGTCACAGAGTTATAATTGAGGGATACTTGAATTCATGAAAATCAAGTTGCTCTTGTAATAGAAACACTTTGATGGAGCTATTTCTTCATTGGCCCTTTCCTGCCACTAGGCAACTGCACCTAGCTGAACAAAGCAGATGTATACAACAACTTAAAGAACTGATTTATGAAATGTGGATGTAATACAGAATTTTAATTATTATGCAAAAACCAATTTTACGGACGGATGGGCAGGATCAACTCAAACCTCAAAAATTTTCAGTTGGGAGAAAATTTCAGATGAATTTTGGAAACACAAAATGTACCTGAAATTCCATTATTTTCAAACATTTCAAAATGGATAAGAAAGAAAACTTGTGATCAAACATTAAATATATAATAAAGGGAGTGATTTAAATTGCATCTGCCTCACCTGGAGTCTTCATTGGCACACAGACAAGAGACTTGTTAAGATGGGGCGGCCCAGCAGAGGTGTTCAACAGAAGACATATCCAGTCAGCTTGCCATGAATTGGTTATCCACATTTTCTGGCCATTTATAATTAAATCCTCTCCATGGTGCCGTGCCGATGTCTGTAAGCCGGCCACGTCAGAACCAGCATCGGGCTCACTCACACCCAGGCAAGATACAACGTCCCCAGAAATACTTGGCGCTAAGAACTCGCGCTTTAAATATTCACTCCCAAATCTGTAAAGAAAATATAGCACCATATAATATATGTCTACACTGTCCACCATCATACTGACTGACAACTCCTTTAACCAAGACCATTTAATTTCGTGCGAGTGTAACTTTTGATGAGGCATAAGGAAAATCTGCCATACATACTAGAGCATATACTGTATATTGCAATTACCTAATAAAAGAAAAAATGTCAGATATGCAGATTGAGTTTAGCAATTTCGAAATAAATATAATGGCAGAGTATAATGCTGTACCTCAGTATTATACAGTCGACCCTCGTTAATTCGGACCCCTTTAATCCGGATTTCGGATAATTCGGACAAAATCTGAACGAACTTTTTTTTTTTTTTTTTTTAGGAATATTACCTACGCGGACCTTAAGCTAAAATGCTGGTCCACCCACTGCTGGGATAAAACACCAGCATCTTTTTGGTTAAATGTAACATCTCCACCACTAGTGTGGGAGGGGGGGATGCAACTTTTAGCTTCAGACATGAAAAATATTTACCATTTACTGCCAGTAAACAATGGAAATGTAAAATATGTACCAATTAGTAATGAAAAGTTGTGCAGTTCCTTCAGCAAATGAAGCTCACCAACTTACAATAGGCTAAATTACCTTGCAACCTGTTTTCAGTAGTCTATGTTGAAGTTCTTAGCATAGGCTAACTTATCATATCATATACGGTATCACAGTACTCATTGATCTACAAAAAATACCGGGAATAAAAACCTTTTCGATATTTCACACGTAATATAATACCCAGTCATCTACTTCAACCTCCTATTGTTTACAACGACTCTTGACGCACCACCAGCTGTTGAGTAACAATCAGCTAGACGGTACACGTGTTTTTCGAATCGTTTTCAGTTAAAAAACTGTTACATCACACGTATATTTTACCTAAACTGCGCCTGAATGAATATATTCTCGGAAATAAATAGTAGTTTTGCTGAAACGATGTATTTCAATGTAAAATAGGATAAAATACATGACGAAAGCAAAAGACTTTACCTAAGCTTTCGATGTTCTTGAGATGTTATTCGCTTTTTTACCAGTTTTCGGTTAAAATACTGTTATATTGCAATGATATTCTATTCATACTGTGCTTGATATAATACATTCACGGAAATGTAATATTTTTGCTGAAATTACTTACGTATTACAGTGGAAAGTGGGATAAAATCGTGACAAAAACAATGACTTTGAAATACAATGCGATATTAACCCCTAAATCGGTTAATTCGGACAATCAGCTAAAATGGACACCCTCCCCCCCCCCTATTAGTCCGAATTAACGAGGGTCGACTGTATACTGTAGTGTATAGTATTTATATAGTATTGTACTGTAGTCAAGAACAGTAATGGTTGCCCCTCGCGTAATGAGGATGGCCGGCCCTAGGGCCACCTACGCGTGAATTTGTTTAAGGTGTATAAGCTGTCACCAACACAACAACCACACCCTGAGTTAACAAGTTGCATGACCCGGTGTCAAGGAATAGTCTGACAAGACCGAACAACTCGCCAACTGCACTGGCTAACCATTATCCCGGAATATGATCCGCAAATCGATTAACATCCAGGATCCCAATTACTGCTGGCAGACAGAGGCAAATGGCGTAAAGAAACTTGCCCATAGTTTCACCCTGCCCGAGGATCGAACCCGGATCCACTCGCTTGCGAGGCGAGCATGCTGACCATCACACCACTGGTATACTGTACAGTATATGTATACACCTGTATTGTACAAAGGCACCCCTTGTTTTCCCACAAAGATCACAAATGACAATACTGTACTGTACATAAAACTTACCTTTGAATGATCTACCTTTTATAAAAGCCTAAATAAGCATTGTAACAAGAATAATCATCATAATAAAACAAAAGGTTCAAATAAACAAATAAAAATAATAATACAGTACAGTAATAAATAAAAATTTAGTGTAAATGAATTTATCTAAACTTATGACAATGACAAGTGGAGGATACGTGCAAGCCTTAGTAAAATGTGTGTTGAGAATTTCCAGGCATCACATTCCTTGATTGCTGCACTGCAACTCACTTGGCTAATCCACCAGAAGTATCTGTTGATATCTCCGCCTCCACCTTCCTAGCTCATACTCTACTAAGTTCTCAGCCTAACAAATCATCCCGTAAAGTAATTAAAGAATGTCCATTCCCCTACTGAGGTGTATGGCTCGCTGGTTTGTTTGGGCCATCAATGGCATATTTTGGCAAAATTGAACACATACCGGGTAATATTACTTTCCAGACCAGACCCGACCCCCACCGGCTACTGGCTATAAAGATAATTATCATAAAATGTGATCGTGTTAATGCTTTAAAATACTGTAAACAGCAAACCAAAAATTAAGTAGGTCAACACTGTACTGACTCATATGTGATATATGACACAAGTCTCCAAGGTGTGTACTGAGACACAAGACATGAATTATACAGTACCTACAAGAAGTTATGATTGACCTAGATAATAGATGACTTGGGTCAGCCTGAACATTGGCAGAAGTCAGCCTTTAATACTGCAAGACAAAGGCTATGACCAACCTTGCAAGAGCAGGAGTAGTTAAATCGGTCTGTACCCCAATCCCCATGCCAACACCTGGGGCACAGATGCCACCGAGAGCCTCATTAAAGGCTGCCTGGTACTTGTAGTCTAAGTCCAGACCTCCATATTCTGAAGAAAATATCAAGTTTCTAAATTTTATTTGAATATCTCAATACACTGCATGATGCATTCAATTTATCTCATTAAAAACTTTAATATTGTCATGTGGTAATACAGTAAGTAGGCTCTGCCAGGGGGGATTTAGTAGTACAAATCTGATAGGTTCCTGTCCCTTTTATCATGAAAAGCATCCCGATGGTCCATGACAGCATCTCAACTAACTTTACAGTCAAGACACAACTGAACTTATACAGTACAGTACTGTCATTTATGCCACATACTTGCCTTCTCAGTGCTGGTGATGAACAGTTATATACAGACACAAATCTAACTCAACATGAAAATTGTTGTAGGCCTATATCTGAGGTACAGTGGTTAGTATATCTGAAGCATGTCCAGGATGCAACAACTAGCAAGTTAATAAGTCTATTAAATAGTAAAGGATAATGGTATTTTTGTTCACAAGTTACATTGTCTGAATACAGTATGTCAATAACAGTCAAATCCTGAATCAGGAAATATTGTGTAACTTCTTTTTTTTTTACACTCATAAAAGGCTTTCAACTATTGCAAAGTGGCTGGAATAAAGAGCAACACAAACTGTTCTTTAATCATTGTCCTTCATTTATATCAACTGGCTTACTAGATGTGTTATGCTAAGATGTTCCTCTTTCCCAACAAGGCCCAATGATTTTGACCTGGTTCTCCACTGTTACTTCATTAATACCCACAGTATCAAAGAGCACGCATGTATTACTATTAGTTTTTTCCAGAGCAAGAATGAAAACAAAGGTACAGTATCAGTATTCAAGACAGAGGATATTTCTCTAGTTTTTTATGTTTCTTGTGTTCTCACACAGAATACACAGTACATCGTTTCATAAACTTTCTCTTTCATAAGGCCATCTTAGCAACCTGTGCTAAACTCACCTACAGGCTTGTTGATTCCCAGAAAACCTGCTTGACCAAACAACTTCATTATCTTGTGTGCTGGCCACATACCAGCAGTCTCCCACTCATCTACATGAGGGTTGATCTCTTTATCAATGAGCTGTTGGAAAAAGACTGATAATACAGGTGTAATCAAAATATGCACTCAAAGATCCATATAGAAGCAGGTAAAGGTTGCCCTCGCTAAGCCAGTACTGTACTATGTAAGTAAAACTGGTACAGTATAAACAAACAGCTTCCATGGCAAGAGGGCATTATGTAACCAGCCCCCCAAAATTTTTTTTAGTGTTCAATTCTTTATTTGGTGTTTAAAATGTATAATAATCAAACTACTAAATGTTCATTTAATAAATGCAAGTCACACTCATGTAAGCCAAATCACAAGAACTGGACTTCCAATTGAATGGTTTGGCTAAAATTCATACGTACAAAGGTGCACATTATGCTTTTCTATTTTCTGCACATATTATTATACATCATGAGAAAACATCTCACACACCAGAATGTACAGTACCAGTAGCTTGTTGTAACAATGATGAAAACATTGGAGCTGTAGTTTTGGGTAGATAAACCTAACTTTCTTTTTTTTTTGTGTGTGTGTGGTAGTTATATGCACACACAAACCTATACTGTATACAGAATGTGAAAAAAAATAATATTAACAATTCTCATTAGGTCAAAACAGAAAGGGAATAAACATTTCTTTGTGAACCAGTGAGAATTAGCAGGTTGAGCTTGGAGGGGGGTTAGGTTATGGTTATTTTTCAGCTCATTATTTTGAGGCAGAAATCTTAACTGCTCTTCATGCAACAACATCAAGAAAGAATCTAAGGTATAGTAGAGAAGCCCAGGATGAAGGAGCTCACCGCGAGCATGTACAGCCATCTTTCACCGTAAATATTAATGAAATTTTTCCATAAAAAATACTCTGTGTATATAGTTCAAACCCTTACTTCTTGCATAAAGATCAAATTTTAAAATTTTTAACTGTACTGTACTGTACTAAGTACATACGGTATACTGTACACATCCACTTCATATCACACTGCACAAGGCCATCCACGTCACATACGCAACACACATATGTCGTGACTCGGGAACCTTGTCTCTGTGGCTCTGAAGGCTTCTAGAATCTATATTAAAACATTTTAAATAGAAAACAATCGAATTTCCTGAAAGAATATCATAAGAATGATTATTTACTTGAACTAATGTATTATGAGCTTAAATAAGTCAATCTGTGTTAGTGTAATATGCTGGCTGTTGTTTTGAACAGTTGTGCCTCCCTGCTGATATGGATATCCATATTTATATACAGCGGTCCCTCGGTTAACGAATACAATTCGTTCCTGAAGGTCGTTCGTTAACCGAAAACCATTGTTTCAATGGGATTTTGGGTAATTGGTTCCAGCTCACCGAAAATTACACACAAAGTAAAAATAAATGCAGTAAAGTACACTTACTTTGAGGTGTGTATGTAGAAGGGTCCTGGTTGATGATGATGGGAACTACAAGTGGGGGTGGAGGAGAAGGGAGAAGAGAAGGAAGTTGAAGAGAAATCACCCCATGCTTCATGCTGTCATTTCACCCATAAAATTTTAAGTTCACTAGGTGTAATTCAAGATTATTTTCTTTAAATCAACACTGCACTGCACTCTATATTGTCAATATGTAAAATAAATTTCAGAATGACCAATAATTGTACTGTAAAAACATAAAAATAGTTATGTTCAAGAGAGCCACAAGCAATATGTTACCTCCACTGACCAGAGATACAAACTGACGCTTTGCTGGGCGAGTCAAGTGGCTGATTGGTGCACCAAAAACCAGTTTCCTGTACTGCAATTATGTTAAATAATTGTTAAAATGACTAAAATTTTTAATATAAAACTTGGAAATTTATTGAATAATACAACCTTCTTGATAGTTACTCAAATGGGAATGAATTTAAGCCCTAGAACTGATTACTGTATTGGCGGACTAATATCCCAGCTGGTGAGCAAGCGAAAACATGCTGACATGATTTCGTAAAAATTTTGTTAACCGAATTGAAGATTCTTATGGAAGGTAATTCGTTAATCAAAATTTCGTTAACCGAGGGATCACTGTACAATACTGTATGTTCTCTCTCCTACACAGCCTGTCCCCTCCCACACCTTACAAACAGAACCCATCAGCAAACATGACAAGAGCCTCACCTTTTTGATGGCATTCTGGAGTTTCTGCTGTTCTTCATTGTAAAACTGATGCTGTTCAATTACTTGTGCACTGTTGGTAGTGGTTACCAAACTCCTACACTGAACGTTCACCCGGCACAATGTCCCAAAGCTTCGAGACAAATACTTCATCCTTGGAGTGGCCCACATGTTCCCTATCTGTGAAAGAAAGATTCTTGTGAGGTGTGATTGTCTGTTAATTTATACAGGTACCATAAGTTACTTGCTTTCAATGGTACCAGATATCAAAGTAAGTTCTTTCTGTTTTATTGTTTGGGGGTCCAGAAGTGGAGCCTCCGGCAAGGAAGTTTGATAAGGTCAGGTAGGTTTCTTTGGTTAGGATGGTTAGGTTAGGTTCTGTGCAATGTCATATCACTTATTACTCACTATCATCTGAAGAACATGTGGAAAAAATTAACGAAATCAAACAACTCCTTCTGGTGTTATTCGTCTCCACCTTGCCGAAACCGGACTATGAAAAAAAAACCTGTTTTGTTCAGTAGAAACAAACTGGACAACTTATTACCTTCTTACATTTGTAGCGTAGTGTATAGAGTATCCACTAGACATTCATCTTAAGATCAAACCCGATGAGAGGCAAGTAAAAGTTTAAAAAATAAATAAAATAAATAGTATACTTAAGTAACACCAACAACCTGCCACTCTCATTTAGTCTTTAATTAATGTTTATTCATTCCTAACTCTACCCAAAGCATCAAGCCTTTACAATACTTCAAACCTATTACAATATTTGATGATGTCAATTTCATCTTCTCTATTACTTCTAACTTATCGCTTCACCACTTACCTGCAGTGAAATTTTGGGTCATTGTGCAGATTACAGCAACCAAAGAATTCCGGAAATTTACTTCACTCAATTGATAGAACTATTTTTTTCTATATCAATTTCTTTTTTACACTTCCGTCGCAAATTTATAACAATGAAGTTATTGAACTTTAAAAAGAATAAAATCAGAGCACCTGTCCCTGACTCAGACTCAGACTCTGACTCAGGGTAAGGTAAGAAATATTGTAACGGCTATTGATCTTATTGTGGAAGCTGACCACGTGACTCTGGATTATTACCTAGCATATGGCCTTCGCCCCCGGCTAGGACCGCCGGGGGTCCGGCAGCGGAGCCCCCAGTCAGGTGGTTAGGTAAGGTTTAGTTTGGATGTTTTGTATAATTCACAAATCACTCGTTTTTTTGCTCTCCCTCACCCAAAACCCCGAATTCCCACGCTCTTCCCGGTATTGTTATAGGGAGGGGGGGGGCCTAAATCACAAATGAATGATTTCCGACAAAAACTAAGGTCAGCTTTGAACTACAGTAATCCCAAAAATCCATCAGAAAACCATATTTTTTTTTAATTCCTTGGTTGCTGTAATATGCATATTTACCAAATTTTGTAACACCGGAGTTCATTTGACTTATTATCAATTATCCATATTTGTTTTATAGTTTGTGATCTGAATTATTATTGGTCATAGTTATGGTCAGTAACTAGGGTAAAGGTGTAGATAACGGCTACTACCAGAAGAAATTGTTCAAATTGGTTGAAATTTTTTCTGCACACATCATGATATTAAACACAAAAATGGAAACGACATTGCATAGAACCTAATAGAACCCGACCTAACGTACCCAACCTATGGGTATGTTAGGTCAGGTTCTATTAGGTTCTGTGCATTATCGTGTTAATTTATGTCTTAAACAACTTACCAATACTGAGGTTGATAGGTTGATATACAGAAAGTTGTCGTTTCTTTTAATATACAGTACACAGTCCTTAAACCATCAAAACAATAAGTACAGCAAAAATAAAGAAAATCAACTAACAACTTCTGGTGGGGGTCCAACTAATTACTGTACCCAAATGTACCCAAATGTAGCCGCAATGAAGTCAAATAATGGTCCTACATGAATAAATCGGACTGCCAATCACTTCTCGACTAGTATTTGGTGTCACAAAGTCACAAAAAATTGGTAAACTTAATTTGATCTGAGTTAATAGATCGAGTGCATGTACCTAACCTAACCTAACACAACTCAGATTAAATTAAGTTTACCAATTTTTTTTTACTTTATGACACCAAATAATAATCGAGAAGTGATTCACAGCCCGATTTATTCAAGGACCATCATTTGACTTCATTGCGGCTACATTTGGGTTCATTCAGGTAATTACTCGCTCCCTCGGTACAAGCACGCGTTCTATTAACTCAGTTTAAATTAAGTTTTCCAATTTTTTGTGACTTTGTGACACCAAATACTAGTCAAGAAGTGGTTGGCAGTCCGATTTATTCATCTAGGACCATTATTTGGCTTCATTGTGGCTATATTTGGGTACACTTGGGTAATTAGTCGGACCGTCTGGTGGTAGCCGTTATCTACCAGTCCGACTAATTACCCAAATGTACCCAAATATAGCCGGAATGAAGTCAAATAATGGTCCTAGATGAATAAATCGGGCTGTGAATCACTTCTCGATTATTATTTGGTGTCATAAAGTAAAAAAAATTGGTAAACTTAATTTAATCTGAGTTGTGTTGTGTTAGGTTAGGTTAGGTTATATTAGATTAGGTTAGGTTAGGTACATGCACTTGATCTATTAACTCAGATTAAATTAAGTTTACCAATTTTTTGTGACTTCGTGACACCAAATACCAGTCGAGGTTAGGTTAGGTTAGGTTCGATACATGCACTCGATCTATTAACTCAAATTAAATTACGTTTTCCATTTTTTTTTTTACTTTGTGACACCAAATACTAGTCGAGAAGTGATTGGTAACCCGATTTATTCATGTAGGACCATTATTTGACTTCATTGCGGGTACATTTGGGTAATTAGTCGGACCCCCTTTACCGTAACTAGTATGAATGTTCTTGAACTTTTTTTCCGTCTAGTTGCCAATGTTTCTTGCTGGAGTCACCAACTTCGCCTGGCAGAACAGTGTCAGAGTGACAGTGTTGTTTGTGTTGAGGGCGAGGAGTTACTGGGCCACTCGGCCACTGGCGGCTGGCCTAAAACGGTACCTCCCTCAAGTGGCCTCAACAACAACCAATCCTGTTTCAATAATTTTTAGTTTAACAAATTTATTGGCAGAGCTTGTAGTACAGTTTGCCTATTCTGAGTAATTCAGTCAGGTCTTGACACTGAGGGTGGTATCACTTCTCACTATCACGCAGGACAGAGGTTCACACACAAAGTGTTTTAAGAAGTAAAATCACCGTGTAGGAAGCACTGTACAAACAAGTAAGAAGTGTGATAACAGGTGAAGTACCTCAGAGGAGGACAGCTTGTGGGTCGCCATGCTCGCCGGCGGGAGCCAGGGCCGCTAGGCAGCGGCGGAGGAGGTGGTGTTGCTTCCTGCGGCAGTAGCTAGAAGAAGAGAGCTGGTTGGTGAGGATGCTCAGAGGTGGACAGCTTGTGGGTCGCCATGCTCGCCGGCGGGAGCGAGGGCCGCCAGGCAGGCGGAGGAGGAGGAGGTGTTGCTGGCTGGTTGGTGTAGGTAGAAAGAGAGAGGTCGATACGATACGAAGTCTTTAGTTAAGAGGTGAAAGAAGATTATTAGGGGTTGAAGGAAAAGTGGTGAAACTGAAATACAGTAGGAGTAGAAAGAATCTGGGCTCAACCAGATCGCTTCATCTTTCTTATTGGTGTTTTATCTTTGTTCTGCTCCCTTGGGTCGTCAGACCTTTGTATTAATATTGGTTTATTTATATAATGCTGCTTATTATTATTATTTTTATTATTGTTGGAGTTAGTGAGCCCGCCCAGGTCCTTGTGTAACTGGGAGGGTAGTCACATTTTTTTTTTTTTTTTGAGGTGTTAGTTAAGTGTTAGTTGTGTTAGTCTAAGGGTACACTGTATGGAGAGGCCTGCCAGGTTCTTAGTGGAGCTGGTTGGTCACTCTCATCTTTATTCCTCTAGTAATGTTTTATGTAGAAATGTGTATATTGAGGCAGGAGGTGGTTCAATTACTTCTTCCTGGCTGATATAGCTGGGAGGGTAATCACATTATTATTATTAATATTATTATTTTATTTATTTTTTTTTTTGAGTTAGTGAGCCCGCCCAGGTCCTTGTGTAGCTGGGAGGGTAAACTAAGATGTTAGTTCAATGTTAAATGTTAAATGTTAAATATTAGTTATGTTAGTCTAAAGGTACACTGTATGGAGAGGCCTGCCAGGTTCTTGTGGAGCTGGTAGGTCACTCTCATCTTTTATTCTCTCTATTAATGTTTTATATGTATATTGGGGCAGGAGATGGTTCAATTACTTTCTTCCTGGCTGATTTAAACCAACTGTGTTCTTGGAATTCTTCGTTGTCTATATTATTTATCCAGTTTTGATATGTTTCTGTGTTAAGTTCAGTCACTTTTTTCCAAATATTTACAGCTTTGTTGTGTATATCTACATTGATTGCTAAGAGGTTTGCTCTCTTGTGTAGCTGTTCATTATTGATGTGGTCTGTATATTTTATGTTATATATAAATCTGAGGGCTATATTTTGTACTGTTTGTAACCTTTTAATGCACGTTTTACTAAGGGTGTTCAATGGGATGGGTGGGTAGTCCATAATTGATTTGACAAGGGCAATATAAATCTTTCTTTTGTTATTAATGCTAAGGTTCTTAAAGCGTTTTATTTTTGATAATCTTATTCTTGCCTGTCGTTCTTTATCTTTTAAGTATGTTATATATTGTAGTGGAATTCTCCCCTACAAACGCTGTTTGTCGCTGCCTAGCCGACCCCACCAATTCCACAGTGTATGCCTCGTGGTCTAGGTCAACCAGCGCCGCCATACATCACGGAGCGGGGGTCAACTGCTAAGCCACGCCTAACCCCGCTATTTAAGACCTGACCTCGTGGTGATCTCTCTCTTTCTACCTACACCAACCAGCCAGCAACACCTCCGCCTGCCTGGCGGTCCTCGCTCCTCCGCCTGCCTGGCGGTCCTCTCTCCCGCTGGCGAGCATGGCGACCCACAAGCTGTCCTCTGAGCGTCCTCACCAACCAGCTCTCTCTACATCACGCTTGTAACCATGCTGCCTTCCCAGCACCAAGCTGCATTGTACATCCAATACAACATGTATATAGAGAGCACATTGTGAGTTTCCTTTCTCCATCCCATCCTGAGTGTGAACCAAACAATCTCATACCCCACAATATCCTCTTTTTGTTAGTTTTAATCCAAGCATCCTGCATTCAGTGTCGTATGGGTATAGTTCCTGGTCGACTATTACTGGACTTGTTTTAATCTTGGCTATTGGTATTATCTTGAATTTGTTCTTATTTGTCCTGATTTTCCATTTTTTCTCAAAATCATTTATGTTTTTTATCGCTCTTACCGTGTAGAGTGCCATAAATTGAGTTGATTTTCCTGGGTATGATACTATTTGAGTAATATCATCAGCAAACATTACATATTCGCTAAAGGGGGTAGGTTGAGGTGTGTCTGAAGTATAAATTGTATATAGTGTTGGAGAAAGGCATCCTCCTTGAGGTACTCCACTCTCAAGATTAAACATAGTTCCCATAAAGTTTCCAATTTGAATTTGTGCTCTCCTATCATCTAAATAGTTACACAATATTCTTAGCAAGTATTCGTTAAGTCCCAGTTTTAATATTTTATATTTCAAGCCTAAATGCCAAACTTTATCAAAAGCCTTAGAAACATCCCTTAAAATTATATTGATCTGGTTACCCTTGCTTTTTTCTATTGCAATTATTTCCGTTATTGTAGCTATTGCAGTTAGGGTATTTCTATTGGGCATAAATCCATGTTGTCTGTTGTTAGTTTTCCCATGTTGTGTTAAAAAGGCTATAAGTCTTGAATTTAATATTTTTTCCAATAGTTTCCCGGTAATTTCTAATAAAGATATTGGCCTGTAGTTTAATATTTCCTTATTGTCCTTACCCTCCTTAGGAATAAATATCATTTTAGCATATTTTAGTTTGTCTGGAAAGTAACCAGTTATTAAGCATGCGTTATAAATGTTTAATAGTGTATTTAAAATGTTTTCAGGTAGATTCATGATCATATTTCGTGTAATACCTGTGAGCCCAGGGGCTTTTTCCTTAAATTTCCTCAGACAGTGCATCATTTCTCCCATGGTTATTATTTGATTATTAGGTAATAAGTTATAGTCTATATATTGCCTTGGGGTGATTCTATGTATTTGTCTTCCCATTTCTTCTTCTATCCTTTCTTCGTGTTCACTATCAAAATCTTCATTTTCCTCATCTTATATTTTAAAAACTTTTACCCATTCCCTTTTGAATGCTGACTCTTGCTCATTTTCCTCGTGCAATTTTGTTCCATTTTGGTCTTTAATGTATGGTGTTTTTTGCTTGTTGTGCCCCATCATCTTGTTTATGGAAGTCCAAAATGTTTTTGTGTCTTTAGTCATGTCAGCCGCCATTATAATATCATTCCATTATTTATTGTTTGCTTCCTTACATGCGTCTCTTAATTTTATCTGTAGTGCTATCTGTGTCGTATATAGCCATCTGTTACTGCCGTGTCTTTCCATATACCTGTTTATTTCATTGTAATGAAGTACCAGATTTCAGAAGGGCAAACTTTGACAGTTTAAAGAGGCAGCTGAGAGAAGGGGTGTCACGCTTGGCTGTGAACCTGACAGATGACTCCGACCTGATAACGAGATCTGAGATTGCCGAGTTCCACGACAATTTAAATAATGAGTTACTTAATGCACAAAGGCAGAACATACCATACAAAAAACTCAGATGAGACAAAAATGACCCTAAATGGATAAATAATTATTTAAAGAACATCATTGGCCAAAGGAAGGCTATAGGTAGAAGGATAAAGTGTGACGAAATTTACCTCCAGGATTATTATAAGATATTGGCGAGTAGGGTTAAAGCCGAGATAAGGAAAGCCAAGAGGAATAATGAGGTAAGGATAGCAAGGGAGGCGAAGACAAGCCCCAAAGGATTCTACCAAATGTATCAAACTAAAACACGAGAAAAGATTGGACCAATACTGTCAGATACCGGCGAGCTCACTGATAACGACGGAGAAATGAGCAATAATTTGAATAAATATTTTTCAACAGTTTTCACCACTGAAAATTTAAACATGATACCCGAGGCACCGACTTTATTCAGAGATAGTAAAGAAAACAAATTAAGCGAGATAGTAGTGACTAGTAACGATGTTAGTAAGCAAATAGACAAACTAAAGCCTAATAAGCCACCTGGTCCCAATGAGATATTTGCCAAAGTATTAAAGGAATGTAAGGAAGAGCTTAGTATGCCCTTAGCAAAGTTGTTTAACATGTCCTTAAAAACAGGTGTAGTACCAGAATCCTGGAGGATAGCGAATGTAATACCGATTTTCAAGAAGGGGGATAGATCACTATCCTCTATTTACCGCCCAATCAGTCTAACATCAATAGTAGGCAAATTGCTGGAAGCAATCATTTCAAACTCTATACGAAATCACCTGGAGAAGCACCGATTGATCAATGATTCCCAGCATGGCTTCACAAGCGGACGTTCTTGTCTAGCTAATCTATTAACATTCTTTTCATCAGTTTTCGAATCAGTGGACGAGGGGTACAATTATGATGTGGTATATCTCGACTTTAGCAAAGCCTTCGACAGAGTCCCCCACGAAAGACTAATTAGAAAGGTAGAAGCACATGGCATCAAAGGTAACATCCTTAAATGGATTAGGGCGTGGTTACAGGACAGGAAACAGCGAGTGAGCATTAACGGCACTAAGTCCCATTGGAGCAACGTCACAAGTGGAGTTCCCCAAGGCTCAGTTTTTGGACCATTATTATTTATTATATACATAAACGACATAGACAGCAACATAAGTAAATTTGCTGATGACACTAAAATAGGACGTGTTATTACATCTGACGAGGACTCCGCAAAACTACAGGAAGATCTAAACAAATTTTTCGAATGGTCTGAAAAATGGCAGATGAAACTCAACGTGGACAAATGTAAAGTACTCAGTATAGGAGATGTAAACAAGGAAACCAGATACCAGATGAACAACGATGCCATAGATAAATCCGACTGCGAGAGAGATTTAGGAGTAATGATAAGTAGGAACCTTAAGCCAAATAAACAATGTGTTTTTGCTCGTAACAAGGCTAATAAAGTACTTGGGTTCATACAAAGGAGTGTTAGTTACAAGACTAGGGAGGTCATCCTAAAACTGTATCTTGCGCTTGTGAGACCACACCTGGATTACGCAGTTCAGTTCTGGTCACCGTATTACAGGATGGATATGGAATCATTGGAAAGAATTCAGAGGAGTATGACAAGACTAATCCCGGGCATCAGGAACCTTGAG